AATTTCTAATAAAAAATAAGTACTTCCTAAAAAATATTTCAAACCAAAAATAATTTTTACAAGTTTGTGAAGCTTCTGACGTGCAGTCCTATGACTGACAGATTTTTTTTAAATTAAAAAGTGAATCCTACTAATATTATAAATGCGAAAGTTTAAATTTTTAAAGGATGTCTAAATGTATGGATGTTTGTTACTCTTTTACGCAAAAACTACCAAACGGATTTTAATGAAACTTTACAATAATATAGCTCATACATCAGAATAGCACACAGGCTACTTTTTATCCCGGAAAAATATACGGTTCCCGTGGGATAGATATGTTTTTATTTATCCAGAAACGAACCCGAGCGAAACGAGGGTAAGCCGCTAGTTTAAAAATAATTTCATAAATAAGTACCATTTGCAATTATGACTCGAGTAGCCACTAAGCACACAAAGAAGCTCTATACTGCGTTGACCTATAGGAGTGACGACATATAGAGATTGTAAAGTTCGGAACTTCAACATTTAACTATGTGGCTAAAACTTTAAAACATAATTAAAATTCAAAAACGCAAATGTAATTGACAAATTAAATATCAAAAACTAGGCCGCACTTTTGGTCGCTATACTGAGTACCTGCTGACCAAATAGTGCCTTGGGTTACTATCATTTCCGCTAATCAAACATATTCTATACTAGCATTGCCCGCGGCTCCACCCGCGTTTAAATGACCAAAAACTAAATTCTTAGGTTTTACATATTACGAGTAGTATACTCTTACATTGCAGTTTTGGTATTTTTTCTCAGAAATGAGACATTTTCCCGCGGTAAAAAGTCCTATATGTTAACCCGGATAACCAGCTATCATCATACCAAATATCATCAAAATCTGTCCAGTGGTTTTCTCGTGATGCGGTAACAGAGACAGACAGATTGACAGACAAAAATTCTAAATACTATAGATTCGGCTTCTGTATCGATAATAATGTCTATTTCAATAAGATTTTCCAAAAAATATTTAATGTACAGATTCGACTAAGTTACAATTTTATTATATGTATAAATTCATGTACATAATATACACATTTATTTTTATTCTAAAAGGACAAAACACACGTTTAAACTTTACAATATGTTTATTACGGTATTAGGAAGGTCACACGTAGACCAAGCAATAGAAGTTAGCGTGTAATAAAATATTGAAGTGCTATTTAAATTTCCTTTATTTCATTGTCTTTTTATTAAAAGAGAAATAGTCGAATCGAGTTTACAAAAATTATATAAAAAATACTTTTTTTACAGTTATTTAAAGATTTAAAGATTTTTATTGAACATAATAACATACATATTAAAAATATTTAGATCGTAAGTAGCTGCATTAGTATAAACTGTGTCGCAGCTAAATTTTTTATCGCCAAATTATTATCGCTTGTTTAGTTCTCATTTAGCTATGGCGCTCAGTATGGGCGCCGGGTGCAAGGAGGTGCTCTAGCACTCCCCTGCCATAAAGGAATATATATAGAAAAAGTTAAAGAAATAAAATTGTATTAGTAAAATCCCTGTTTAAAATTAGATGTCTGCAAAAAAAATCATAAATACTGGTAACTTACGTGTAATCTATGAAGATAGATAAATAAAATTGATGTGTCTGTTTGTATTATCAAAATAAGAGCTTTTTACTGAACGCATATGGAAGTACGACACCTACCTTATAGGTAGGTAACATAAACAAAAAAATAAAAGTTTTGTCTGTCTGTCTGTGTGTCTGTCGGTATGTCTGTTTGTACGGCTAATCTCCGAAACGGCTAGACCGATTTTGACGAGATTTTCGCTGTCAGATAGCTGATGTTATAACTAGTAAGTCAGGCTTTATTTTGGAAAAAGAATCAGCGTACCGCACAAAAAAATTAAAACCCGTACCTTTGGAAGTTTGGACGCACAGAGGGAGCGAAACGATGGTAAGTAAAGAAAAATAGTAATAATTTTGACATTAAATATTACAAAATACTTGTACTATTAATAATTACATCAATTTGTTGTTAAAATTAATTAATCTATTAAATAAATGTTGCATAACAACGAAAGTGTTTTATATCCATCCAAATATAACAAACTTTTACTTTTAGTATAACTAAATTTACTACTAGTTAAATTTTATGAATATTTCCGCATTTACTTCGTCCGTTTACCTTCAAAATTGTTTTTATTATCTACCATTTATACAATAGAATAGGTATGCTTTACTTTGAATGTACAATTAAGTTATTTTTTGTGTCAATTTTAAATCTATACTTATTATAAAAATAAGTCCCCCGGCCGCGTCTTTCTGTCCTCCTGTCTGTCTGTACGCGATAAACTCGAAAACTACTGAACGGATTTTTATACGGTTTTCAACAATAGAAAGAGTAATTCTTGAGGAAGGTTTAGGTATATAATTTATTATGCTTTTATGTAAATTAGCTGAAATACGGCGACAAATGTTGAAGAGGTCGCGAAAAATCTCGCCAAATGGGAACTTTCCACGCGAACGCCGCGTAAACTAGCAAAGATACAGTTAAGTAATGTACTAGAGAATTCAAAATCTATAAAAATGCTACAAAAAAGTCCGCGATAGCATATCTCTATCTCTTACGGTTGACTTACAATAACCACTTTTATGTTAACATTTTTAATTAAAAACATTACGTTATTTTCAAAGTTATTTTCTTTAGTTCGGTATTAATCCTTATCCAAATGAATATTTTAGTTAGCTTAGTCATTTAATGCAGATTAAAATTACTCTTTACACTAAATCAATCAGATGAATAGTTTTTGAGATATCGTTGTTAGAAGTAATTAGTAGCGAAACATTTTTAATGCTTGGCGAGCATTGAGATGCCTACGGCGAGTCCATCCCCTCTGCCCCGCATCGCTCGACCGCCTGCTCAAGCTATATAAACCGGGCGATGTAGCGCGCGATCCTAGGATACTTTTTACCGCGGGAAAATATCTTATTTCTGAGGAAAAATACAAAAACTGCAATGTAAGAGTATACTAATATGTAACACCTAAGAATTTAGTTTTTGGTCATCTGAACGCGGGCGGAGCCGCGGGCAATGCTAGTTTATAATATAAAAATGAATCGCTGAATGTGTTGGTAAGCGCAAATCTCGAGAGCAGCTGAACCGATTTCGCTAATTCTTTTTTTAGACTATTCCCTGAAGTACGAGGATGGTTCTTACGAAGAAAAAAATTTAAAAAATTGCCTGAAAAAGTCTAAAAACAACACTTTTCTATACATACAAAAGATTCGAAATAATAATTAAAAGTCAATTTGAACTGTAATACCATACCATAAAGTTTAAGTGTAAGTGGAGAGGTGGAAGTCAAAAAAATTGAGTGACGTTAGTATCGTATAAATATTAATATCAATATTTGTCAATATTATTACCAAAAAAATATATATGGCTAACGTTGGCTAATAACTATTTATATCTATTTAAAACGTACCTAGCGACGAACCCGACGGAAGCGTGGGTGAGCCTCTAGTATATTATAAAAGTAAAAAACCCGACTGCATAAAAGCTAACTAAAAAGATGAAAACAAGTTGACGAAGGAATAAATAATATATTAGTGTATAAGCTAGTATGTACGTATTATACATTATTTATTACACGAATAAATTAATTGCATAACAATGGCGCTTGTAACAGTGCTGAAATATCGGAAACTCGTAAAAGTAAGTAAAAAACATGTCCCGTTTTACATAATAAAAATATTGTCGTCAGCGACCATGAAAGCTTAGACTTATAATAAACTTGCAGAACCCACGGTTTCGCCCGCGTTAAAACAACAGAAAAAAACTTTAAAAAGGTAGGTACCTAGGTTTCATACAAAATTTCATCTCCTATTTTACCCTTATATGGGGTGAATTTAAAAAATATATGCTAAAACACGTATTTAATTGTATTTAAGAGCAATCATACCAAGTTTTCAATAATTCTGATCATAAATATTTTTTTTGGGTTGTAATATAACGTGTTTTTCCGTGGGAATGAAATAATCTTTCGCCATAAAAAAATAACCTATGTCACTCTCGAGCCTTCCAACTATCTCCACACAAAACATCATTTCAATACATCACTCCGTTTCAACACGAAAGAAAGATAAACAAACAAACACACTTTATTACACACATTTATAATATTAAAAAAAGTATGGATATGGATTAATTATTGTTTCGTGTTCAAAAAAAACAGACACTCGTTGGTCTATCCACAGCTACTCTTATCTAAATCACGACGTTTACGATATCAATAGAATAAGGCTTCTGCTATTATGGTGTATATATATATCTTATATATAAAATTTCCATGTCACAATGTTTGTTACCGTACTCCTCCGAAACGGCTTTACCGATTTTTACCAAATTTTATATGCGTATTCAGTAGGTCTGAGAATCGGCTACTATCTATTTTCCATACCCCTAAGTGATAAGGATAAGGGTGGTCCTCCCAGACCCCACCCCAGGGACGAACCCGAGTGGAGCGAGGGTGAGTCGCTAGTATTTTAAACCTTAAATAATGGAAACAAACAAATCCCACGGTATAACAGAACTTTGGATGAAAAATATTAATATGTGATCACGACATAAAACACTACTTTCTTTTTTTGTTTTATATTTTGTATAAATTAATTTTTTTAAATACTTTAATTTTAATTTATTGTTTTGATGAGAAGGTTATATTTGTTTTTGTGTATGTTACGGAATACGGACATTCATTTATTTCAAGTTTTTATAATAGTTTTTTTTTAATAAATATCCTTTACCGAAGGTCGGTCTTATATACAGTTTTATACACCGTAAGTAAATATTGATATCATTTTAGATTTTGATCGAAGAATAAAATTTGTTTTTTTTTTATTTACATAAAAGTATACCAGTGTCCGTTGATTTATTTGGAAATTCATTGTACATGTAATTAAAATGTCCAACATATATTGGAGGTGAATAAATAAAAAAAAAAGGTTAGCTTACCGGCCCAAGACCCGAATCTCTTCGATAAGGGTAACACTTCCGTAGGAATGAAGTATGGCATAAGATACGAGGTTACTAGTTCGAATACGCTCCATAATGAGTCTATAACGAATACAGCCACGGTTATAGCTCCTATTATAGCTAAAACAATAAACATTTTAAAAATAATGAAATATCACAACTTTAATAAAACTCGCGCTTTACGGATTAGATGTTAGCGCGCGTCGGCATGTCGCGACGGTGCGGAGTATACTGAGGACTGAGGAGTGAGGACTGAGGTCTGAGGCCTGAGTGAGGGCTAGTTGATAGTTCAGATCGCTGTCACTACGTAATCAGGATGTCAACTTATGTCATTACACGTATTAAAAATCAATCGATTGATAATAATCGATTTGAATATTTATTGTCGCACGATTGAATTTAACAATCTTCCTTTGATTTAAAATTCACTCGACTTTTCATACGGTTATTTCATTATTTTTCTACAAATGTTTTACCATTAATAATTACTAAGTTTATTGATGTTTTAGAACTTATCATTACGAACTAAATATTTGAGTACTCGTATTTGTAAACATCTTTAAAAATGTTCTTGCGCCTTATAAAATTTTATAGCAAAATTTTATTAAAGAAAATATTTGCATAAAAACCGAAGGCATTTATTTATACACTATGAGTTGAGATAAAAAAGCTATTTACAGATATTTACTGTAATGCTTATTCATATTTAAATGAGACTTCTTAAGATTTTATAGTAAGATTCTTAAAATTTGCAAACGACCCAATACTATTTTTAAAGATCCAAGAAGCGTGTAAAAAGATGAGAGCAGCCACTACGTACGCAAGAGATAAAATGAGGCTATCAAAAGTACTGTAAAAGTAATAAAAAATCTTGAAAATATCTTGATAAGTGTCAATGTCCCCACAATAAAATATGTGGAAGGCAGTTTTAAACGTTAATTCAATACATACTATCGAAACGACGTCGGACACCACATCAAGCGCCTGACGCTGGAGCATATTTTTACATTTCTACCGGACCACGGCTAATATATATATATATATATATGAAAGTGGTGTACAAAGTACATTGACATTTAGGACATGAGAACATGTACTAAACTATACATAAATAAAATTCTGAGTCGAATCTGTACATTAATTATTTTTTGGAAAATCTTATTGAAATAGACATTATTATCGATACAGAGGCCGAATCTATAGTTTTTAGAATTTTTGTCTGTCTGTCTGTCTGTTACCGCATCAAAGAAAAACTACTGGAGGGATTTTGATGAAATTTGGTATGGTGATAGCTGGTTATCCGGGTCAACATATAGAATACTTTTTACCGCGAGAAAATATCTCATTTCTGAGAAGAAATCCAAAAAGAAATAAAAGAAGAATTTGGTTTTTGGTCATCTGAACGCGAGCGGAGCCGCAGGCAATGCTAGTCTATACTAATATAATAAAAAGATAAAGTTTGTGAATTTGAGTTTGTGAGGTTGTAGGGGCTAATCTCTGGATATACTGAACCCATATAGATGAAATTTGGTAAGTAGATAGTTTGAGACCCTGGGAAGGACATAGGATACTTTTTATCCGGAAAACATCCCTTAAGGGGTTGAAAATGGGGATGAAAGTATGTATGGGGAAACAACCTAGGGACGAACTCGAGCGAAGCGAGGGTGAGTTGCTAGCTTTCGATACAGATGCCAAATCTTTAGTTTTTAGAATCTTTGTCTGTCTGGCTGTCTGTATGTGATCGCATCACGAGAAAACCACTAGACAGATTTTGATGAAATTAGGTATGACGATAGCTGGTTATCCGGCTCAACATATAGGATACTTCTTACTGCGATAATAATTTTAAATTATTTAATTTAAAATTATTCTAACATAAATTTTGATGTATGTATGTATTCAGCCCTTTTAACATCCCACTGCTGGGCACGGGCCTCCCTTCATACGAGGGGGATCAGGCCATAGTCCACCACGCTGGCCAAGTGCGGATTGGCGGACTTCACATGTCTTTCGAAAACTTGCTAGGTTTTCTCAGACATGCAGGTTTCCTCACGTTGTTTTCCTTCACCGTAAGGCAAGTGGTAATCATGTTAGAAATGATTCGCACATGAAAATATCAGAGGTGCGAGACCTGGGATTTGAACCCGCTTCACTCGGTTTCCCAAGCGAGCGCGTTACCACTGGGATACCACTGCCTATAATTCTTTGATAGCTGTAGCAAAGCAATTTAATTTTGATAGATGTAGCAAATTTTTCATTTCGTGATAGTTAACATTAGCTCGCTGCGCAGTTTCTACATTTTTTGTTGACTTCGGTGCAAAAGTACTGGTTTATGAGTTATTTTTTTAAAGCTCTTGTATACAACTTCAATCTGTACAATGGCAAGATTATCGTCGATAAAAATATTACGTTATTTAAACAAGAAATAAAATTATCTAGTGAAAAGGATATGGGGAAAAGTATAAATAAAACTACGTACATTCAAATTTTAATATATACAACAATTTTACTTTAAAAAAAAGTCTGAAATTATCGATTAACCTATCGACATAATCAACTTAACAAGTCTTAACTTTATATTTTGTAATTAAAAGAAACAGAAAACCACAAAGAATAACTCTTATGTTAGTAAAACCACTGAGGAGTTTATTTTTTATTTTTATGTGACTAAGGGGGCAAACGGGCAGGAGGCTCACCTGATGGAAAGTGATCACCGCCACCCATGGACATCTGCAACACCGCAGGGCTTGCAGATGCGTTGCCGGCCTTTAAGGAAGGGAGTTTACTATTACCACTAAAATAGAGCCTTTCACATACAAATAATTAACAGGCCAAATTCAGACCATTCTTCGAACCTATTTTTCGAGACGAGTCGTGAACAATACATCAAAAGTACTCAATAACTTATAAAGTACAAGCGCCGCCATCTATGAATACACAGCATAAACTTGTCAGTTTTTTCGTCAGTAAAATTACTGGATCAGGATCCGGCTGCAAGATTGCTACGTTTTTGCACATTCGCTGCAGGCCGAAGGTGAATTTTTGTTGCCCGAATACATTCGCGATGCATGCGGACTGCGGCCGTGCCATATTAATACGAGCTCATTTGTCGCCACGTACTAATACAATAAAAGACCGCATTATGAGGAAAGTTCATAATATGTCTGGACATCTTTTAATGATGGCGGCGGTACCTTCATGGCGGGTGGGGCGTGGGGAAGTGATAATATAGTTTTTTAACTATCCCACGGGAACTCTTTGATTTTCCGGGATGAAAAGTATCTAAGATGTTGACCGGGGATATAAGGTACCACCATGCAAAATTTCATTTAAATCGGTCCAATAGTCTCGATGATTAGCCCGTACAAACAGACAAACAGACAGTCAGAGAAACAAAAAATTTGAAAAAAAAACTGGATTTGTTCTATTTCTCTTCTTACATCCCCCTGAGTCAGTTTTTAGCATTTTTTTTCTATGTACTGAAATTCGGCCTCTACAGTTTTATTATAGTATAGATTTGTCAAACAATAACAACGGTTACCATGACAAAGATAGATTAAAGTGAAAGAGAGTTAGCTGCATTGTTCTTATTCATAAAATAAAACTTAATTAATTTAATTAAATATTATAATATATCTTTGCATTCTATTACATCAGAATACACTGAATCACAGTCAGGGCTCTTAACGAAGATTGATCTAGAGTCACTGTTGGACTGACAGCTGCCCATGTTGAACATGTCTGACACTTTGCTGCGATTTTTTTTAATAGTTCTTAATAGCTGAAGGACTCCCACTTGGAATTCTAAAACTTCATCGTCGTCTAGAGTGTGCAATGTTGGTAATATGCCGTAGAAGAACGAAATATGTCGATTGTTAGGGTTATATTGATAGCTGTTATCATCCATAAATCTTACTTTAGCTTCTGCAGGGGCTGGATCACTTTTCGACAAACCAGAAGATGATTGTATTATAGATCCCTTTCCAATCGAAGGTAAGCTAATAATATCTGACTTGTTCAAATTAATTTCAGTGTCTTCATCGCTACAACTTCCTTCTGTGCTCTTCGTTTCATTCGGCTTTAATACCTTGTCTAAAAATTTCAATTGATTACTGTACACGTAACGTTTAACTCTTTTACCTCCCATAACCTTCTGTTGCTCCTGTTTTTTTATAGATCGATGGTAGTTGTCACGTACGTGCGTCCACTTTTGGTGAACTAATTTTCCTGTTAAAACAAGCGTTAATATTAATAACAAAGTATAATATAATAAATAGATATAAAAGGTATTATTTTATATGTATATAATATCAAAATAACAGCTTTTTACTAAATTCGTATGAAATTTTATACGGTACTTATAAGAAAAACACTGAAGAACTGTTTGTTCCGGCTAATCTCGGAAACGGTTGGACTGATTTTGACGGGATTTTCATGGCAGATAGCTAATGTTGTAAGGATTAACGTATGCTATATACTTTTATTTTAGTAAAAGAATTAGAGTTCCGCTTAAAAAAAATAACACGTACCTACGGACGCACTCAAGAGAAGCGAGGGTAAGGGAGCATCCATTAATTACGTGAGACAATTTTGGTCGATTTTTCGAGCGCCTCCCCACCTTCCCTAATCTCACGTGAGATTTCTTAAAATGCGTATTTGCACGTAGAATCACAATGAGAAAATCAAACAATAAAATACTTAAATGGGAACTAAATTGGTAAAAGAAAATTATTATGTAATATATTTATTGAATGTTAAGAAATATTTGTTCATCCATACTAATATTATTAATATGAAAGTGTGTTTGTTTGTTTGTTTGTTTGTTTGTTTGTTTGTTTATTTGTTTGTTTGGCCTTCTTTCAAATCGAAAAGGATTGGCATATTGGATTTTTTGTGTGGAGAAAGGTGGAGGGCTGGAGAGTGACATAGGCTACTTTTTACCGCGGGAGATTATCTCATTCCCATGGGAAAATACGTTATAATACAACCCAAAAAATATTTATGATCAAAATTACTTGAAACTTGGGTATTAATGCTCTTCAATACAATTAAATAAATACGTGTTTTAGCATTTTTCGGAATTCATCCCATTAAGGGGTAAGATAAGGGATGAAAGTTTGTATGAAAACTACCTTTTTAGAGTATTTTTGAAGTTTTAGCGCGAGCGAAGCCGCGGGCTCTGCTAGTATTTAATAAATAAATTGTTTTCAAAAAATGATTTTATTAATAGTTGATAAATTCTTCTATCAGTATAAAATTAAACCGCAATGAATAATTGTTATACATATAATATGTTTTAGCGATATTTTAATAGGGAAATATTTTATACTTAAATTAACCCAGTATTCTCGCAATTTTGCAATGTTTCTCACGGAAAAAATTACGTGATTTTTGCCGAGACCACCCCCTTCCCTACGTGAGATTAAGTGAGGTTTTGCTCGACTATATTTTCGGCCTCTGTATCTGTTAATAATGTCTATTTCAGTAGATTTTCCAAAAAATATTTAATGTACAGATTCGGGTTACAACTAGTCACAATTTTATTATATGTATAAAAAACCAGCATATATAGCATTTGACTTTTTGTACATTGAGTACTAAACTTACAAGAGAATTAATAAAAAACGATAATATATGTATGTACATATACTTAAGTAATTATTCAAAAACATTCACTTATTATATAGCTATCGCCATAAATTCAAAAATTACTTATTTTAGATATAACATAATCAACTTGCTAGACTAATAAAACAAAATGTCTCACTAGAAAATTACATCTTTACAATATAATATAAGTATTTTTTATACACACCGAACAAGCGTCGAGTATTTTCATCCATGTTTTCAAAGCCGGGTATCAGTGCGACCATTATCGTCCTCCACGCCGCGCGCGTCGAATTGCGGTGCTTATATAGCTCCGTACTCTTATCCCATAGCAGAGGCTTTTGTTTGATCAACGATATTAACTTAACCACGTTTATGTGTAAATCTTCTATCTCCATTTTTTTAATAAATAGTATTGCCAAATAATATTAGAATTAAACGTATGTGCACTACTCGTTTTTATAGATACTTGTCGCGACGAGGTCGCAGCGCTACTACTCGTACAGTGTTCGGTCGCCATTCGTTGAAACCGTACCAAGCCGCACCGAATGAAAGAGAAGGCGTGCAATATAGACGTTTCGTTCTCGATCCATTCCATTGTCGTCACTGTGTGAATGCGTGTTAATAACAAAATGTGTGCAGTTCACAGTTGATATTGATAATTACCCGTTGTTACGATACGTAGCCATACCTTTACTTGTTTTATATGTTTAATAAATAATTGTATAAAGTTGATTTATCAAGTTATTTGTTAAGTTATTGTGTACGTTACATAATAAATATTTGATAATTATTATTTTATAAGTAACTAGCATTGCCCGCGGCTCCGCCCGCGTTAAGGTGACTAAAAACCAAATTCTTAGGTTTTACATACATATTAGTATACTCTTACATTGCAGTTTTTGTATTTTTTCTCAGAAATGAGATACCTATTTTTCCGCGGTAAAAAGTATCCTATATGTTGACCCGAATAACCAGCTACTACCACACCAAATTTTATCAAAATCACTCCAGTGGTTTTTCCGTGATGCGGTAACAGACAGACAGACAAAAATTCTAAAAACTATATAGATTCGGACTCTGTATCGATATCAATCAATTAGATTTTCCAAAAAATATTTAATGTACAGATTCGACTTAGTTACAATTTTATTATATGTATAGATTATACAGCGACTCACCTTCCTTTCGCTCGGGTTCGTCCCTACGTATTTATATACTTAATATTAAATTATTTGGATATTGTTCATACAAAAATTCTAAAATCGTGATAAAAAAGGGGGTGGGGGTAAGACGATGAAAAATACTTTACGACCTATTCTTATACCTACAAAATATACCAAAAAAAAAATCATTAAAATCACACGAGATATTTATATGTTAGATTAATAATTATTATCAATATAAGGATTTTGCTAGAAGTATAATTTCATTTTAGCTCTATATATGTCTTACTTTTGCACTTAAATTGGCACCATACGTTTTTAGGCCGGTCTCTATCGCCTCGTCCTGGATCGTTACATTCACATTAGGGTTGCGCTTAAAAAAAATTAAAACGCACCTAGGGACGCGCCCGAGCATAAGTCACAAGTGAATGAAGAATAATATCTATAGAACTCCTCGAAAATTATCACAAGTTCTCTCTATCTGTTGGATAGAAAATGTGCAATACACAAACACCCATGGAACACATCCATGCCGTTCCCAATTAATAAATGTATTTAAAAAGAAACTACTTATAACTGTAACAAAAATATAATAACCGTAAAAATACAAAAATCTTTAACATAAGTATTGCACCGATTGCGTCATATTCATTTATAGAGAGACAGAAAGATTATATAATATGCAAAAAGAACTTACGCTTAAAGTCGAGTCATTTTTAAAATCGATTACATTACAGAAAACCTGAATTCTAAATTGCAAATTACATTATTTTTTTAATAAGATTGGAATATTTTATTGTGAGATAAAACCTATTTGTCTGATTGTTCAAACCATTACACATAGTAATTAATACACTTCTTCTCCCTGCAAATTTCCCAAATTACTTGGGGTCGGCGCAGTACCCTCAAACTGGTTATAGGTTTTGGCAAAAAAAACCGACCGGCCGCCTGCCTGACGTCAACCCTCTTTTGGAATGCTGTCTGTGTGTGTGTGTGACTTAAGGTGCGATGTCCCTTGATCCTTTAATCGTCTTCTACGACATCTACGAGGAGATGGGATAGCCCTATTCTAAGCCTAATTAATACACTATTTACATAATATTCGTTAATAATGTATATCGATATATCGGGATTATGCCATAAATCATGTGAAATAATTAAGTATCATTAGTACAGGTGGTACAATCCTATAAAGTTTTTTAATACAATTTTTATTTTGAGATTAGATTTTAGAATTATAAATCGAAGAAAAGATTATGGAGATTCCCTCAAAAATAAGTATAACAAAAACAATATTTTATAATTGATCCCAAATCCAAACCGGTTTAATACGAGGTCATGTATCAAGTAAAATAAATACGGCAGTTAATATTAGCTGTTGCATCCGAGGAGCACCCGTTCATTACACATAATTTATAATTTGTAAATGTATTCAAGCAGTAAATTTATTAAAAAAAATCAACACCATTTCAACCAAGTTTTAAGAAAACGACCGGAAAAATATTAAAACATTCTAACGTAAACTCTCTCAGTTTTTTTCTGCTTGGATAAAGTTTTGAAGGACTTTTATTTAGTGCACTTTTGGAGTTTCAAAGAATCCCTACTTACAATCAGTACGCCTTTAAAGTACTCATTCAGTCATCTCAACATGAGTCTGTACTGTTTTTAGCTGTACATTTTTGACGATTAAAAAAGCATTACACCGTTTTGTTAACGAGCTTTTAACGTTTTAAACGTTTATGGAGATTAATGTTTTTGATATCGTGTAATAAAAATAATATATTTTAAATTCAATTCTATTTGAGAATTTTAGGTGTGCCAGTGAACATAAAATATTTTACCAATATGACATTGGGACGAAGATACGCAGAGATTAGCGATGAACCGGTAAAAAAAAGATTTTCCCGCTGAGATCTGATGAGCAAATTAAATAATCATAAATAATAATAAAGTATGTTTCTGAGATACTCCATACAAGGTTTATTTTGAGGTGGATACTTACTGTATATTGTACAAGATCAATTTCTTAAAATGAGATTTGAACACTTGCGGCACAAAGCTGGTCTTTCCACAATCTTAATAACCTGCCTAGTTGTAGTGTTCACTAGTGTTCGCCCAGTGCTTCATATTCTTCAACTCGATCAAAACCTTTTACTTTATTCACACTACAACTACCAATAGGTACCAAACCAAAAAAGGCAATCAGCTGACAAACAGAGGAGGAAACGGTACTGAGCTGTTTTTTCTTTGCTTATTAATACTTAGTTATGGATAGTTATTGCGAGTGTACCTTAGGAGAAGGACTTATATGCTATTGCAGAGTAGGTAGCAGCTGTTGGCTTTATTAAGCCTTACAATTTTTAGTACATTATTTTGATGTATCTATTAAGTTTTAGCCAGCGTTAGACATGTACATTTCTATAGACGACTCGATAGAAACAGTTATTGTGTTTTTCCGTGGGAATGAAAAATTTTCCTGTAGTAGAAGGTATCCTAAATGTTGATCCGAGTAATATCTTATTACTACTTACTGCTTATTTATTGTATATCGAAGAATTTAGGTATACATGTATCATATATACATTATACATCAGTGTCATATTTTAATAGCAACGGACCACTGACTGGAATATTATAGTCCATAGGGACTTTAGAGTAGTATAAGTCATAGGATAACTTCTATATCGAATACACCAAGCGAGATATTAGATACGTATGTATTGGAAAATGTCGCTAGTTATATAAAAACAACAAATACCATATGTATTATTATGTGTTTAATTTGTTACATGCAATCAATCGTTATGAAATATTGATCACGACATAGCGTTGCCGCACAAGGAAAAGAATAGATACTGATATTATACCATAGCTTAGGTTAAAGTTTATCAAATGTTTCGTGTACGATATTAATATTTTATTACTCGAAACTTTGAAAGTAAAAATTACTAAAGGACGAACGGGTGTACAGAGTAGTACTTAGTGGGGACCTAATGGCTTCTATACGACCTGGTCAAGGAGGGATGTCAATAAAAATGCTAAGTATAAGTACTATATTCATTTTTTATATAAGATAAATTCTCATTTTTAGGGTTCTAAAAAATTTGGTAAACTAAAAAAAGTTGACATATCATTAGCGGCCGCTTCCGCTACTTAATTGGCCCACGCCCCCCTCATTTTCAAATCCGGCCCTGGGGATGCAGTTATAACATGAACCAGGCGAGGACGAGACTCTATAGATAAAATAATAAAAATAAAACGATAATTTACATACACGATAATAAAGGCCAGAACGGATCGAAGATCGGTATTCTCTCTGCATATAATTGAGTCAAATAGTAAAGAACAACTATATAAAAGTCAGTAACGTAATTACCATTTTTGGGCCCCAATAATAAAAAATAGAAGTACCCCTTTGTATATTTTGAATGAATGTGTGAATGAAAAAATGAATGTGGTACACAGGCAGAGACAGTTTTCGAACTGTAGAAGGGACTGGCTAAGGGACTGAGTTTCTTTTGAGTGTATTCTCAGAATTATATATTTTATACATATAAGGGACAAAAAAAATAATTAATATATTAAATTATTATCAATAATTTTAAATAAATTATTCTACAACAACTAAGTATTTATAACTAAACAAATCATTATATTTTTTAAATTAATAAAAAAAAATAACATTTGAGTAGTCAATTTTCAGAAGCTCTCTTTTAACCGGTAGGTATCCCAAATATTTTGGGACCGTCCCATCTCTAAAAAGGCGAATATAGTCGCCATCCGAACAATATCAAAAAGTAAATGACAATTTGCGGTCTTTGCTTTAATTACAAAAAACCTAACAAAAGTCAATTTAATTACAGCATTTCAATTTTAATTATGTTTATTACCTCAGAACTTCGTCATTTATTAACCGATTTGGACAATTTTTGTTTTGTTTGAAAGGGTATACTTCCAGATTGGCACCATTTAAAATTCAAAAAAAAAACCACCCCTAAAGGTGGAAAAATAGCGAATGATGAATTTAACCTACTTCTAATTGTCATATTGACTTGAAACTTTGCAAGTGTTTCTATTTCCGTTGATAGTACAGTGGTTCGGTGTTGTTGACCTAATCTGATGGTAAGGCCAGAAGGTGGATAGGTGGTAACTCTTCAACGACTAATAGTAGATACTTTGAGTTTGGCCTTATTTTGTTTGACAAGCCTAATACTTTAGAATTCTCACTTTGCTACTACTGTCTACACTAAAAAGGGAAAAATAAAAACTTTTTAACAAAAAAATAAAAACCGACTTCAAACAAAAGCACTAAAAATTAAAAAATAACTGATTGGTAGTTTACATTTACTATACATACCTAATCAAATATTTTCGAATACATACCTAATCAAATATTTTCGTAATCGGTGCCAGCCCATACAAAGCAAAGCACACCGACATCGAAAATATTTGGTTAGGTATGTATAGTAAATGAAAACTACCAATCAGTTATTTTTTACTTTTTAGTGCTTTTGTTTGAAGTCGGTTTTTATTTTTTTGTTAAAAAGTTTTTATTTACACTGTCAGTCTTTACAATAATATATGTTTTTAAAAATAAACTATATCTAAGTAACAGTTGAAGTTTTTTTTTTACTTATGCTTCGACTAGGTGGATTGAGCCAGTTTCATTCGACGATCTAGAAAGTGGTTTTTGGAGCAACTCGATACCTTTGCTTTTAAATATGACAGCTTTGATTGACTCTGAAACAATATATCATTAAACATTATTTTTTAACACCTCCAGGTAAATTTCTAAGAAATTAATTAAAATTCTAAGAAATCTATTGTTAAGTGACACGCCGGCGTGTCCGCGGTCGTGGAGGGAATAATTTTTACATATAACGAGCAAGTAAGTTCTATAAACAATTGTTAATATTGCAACACGTTTGGTAACATCGTAGTGGATGTACCTACCATGATACCAAGCCTAGTACATATGTATTGCATTAAATAAAACAAGGTGCATTTTACTTAATGCCGTTATGGTACGAGAGCTAGCAACGTCGGGAAAACGAGAATTTTAATAAATTTTATTATAATCCCTCCAGTAGTTTTTCTGTGATGCGGTAACAGACAGACAGACAAAAATTCTAAAAACTATAGATTCGGCATCAGTATCGATAATAATGTTTGTTTCAAAAAGATTTTCCAAAAAATATTTAATGTACAGACTAGGCTTACTTACAATTTTATTATATGTATAGATTGAAAAAAAATACCAAGTATGAGACCTCATATTGAAATATTAAATAAATATAGTAACGATTGAAAATTATTCTATTTATATTATTATTTAATACATATATACTTACTCAGTAGTTTTGATCGCCTTTCATTAAATTCGTCTCTTTTACAAAATATAAAAAGCTCCACAAAAGCTACGAGTATAAGTGATGCAAATAAACAATACACAAGAAATTCTAACATACTCGTAACAAAAGTTAATTTCGATATCGAATAAGTTGCTCGCTCAAGCCGTCTTGTCACAGCGAGGCTTTAAAATTGACTAAGAAAAGCTGCGTTTACTACTGAGTGATTCAGATTGTATGGAAATTTAAAAATATATGAATCCTTGTAGTGTAAGGATCGTACTTATAGTAAGCTTATACTTTACTCTACTTCTTAATCTTCACTATATAAAGTTTTATTTTTATAGGCTACTTATGTCGGCTTTATGCTAATATCTTACATCACGTTAATTAATAAATACACTTCACAAACGGAGCCGCGGGCCAAAGCTAGGCGATAATATAATACCTACTATTATCTGTTTGAATTCACACTTAATCTTACTTGCACTTAATCTACTCATATATTTTCTATCAGTCTTAACTCAAGTACTTACCTATACTCGTATATACCTATAGGTTGCAAAAATATAAAAAAAAACTAAGATATTCTAATGAAATCTAAGCGAATTGGACGTGAATCGCTCGAAAATACTCACTCAGTGCATATACACTTTAAATTTTTATAATATACTAGCATTGCCCGTGGTTCCGCCCGCGTTTAGATAATTAAAAACCAAATTATTAGGTTTTACATATTACGAGTAGTATACTCATACACTGCAGTTTTTGTATTTTTTCTCAGAAATGAGACATTTTACCGCGGTAAAAAGTATCCTATATATTGACCCGGATAATCAGCTATGACCATACCAAATTTCATGAAAATCCCTCCAGTGGTTTCTCTGTGATGCGGTAACAGACAGACAAATAGGCAAAAATTCTAAAAACTATAGATTCGGCCTCTGTATCGATAATAATGTCTATTTCAATAAGATTTTCCAAAAAATATTTAATGTACAGATTCGGCTTAGTTACAATTTTACAATATGTAAGTATAGATTAAAATAAATCAACAATCGGCGGAATTAGCTTGTTTAATATTAATACAAAAACTATACCTATTATAATAGGTAAACACTTTCTTAGATTTACACGAAAATTGACATATTAAATAAAACTATCTTTTCGGATTATTTCGCGGATTTATTTTGATTTTTGGTTCCCGACGTTTCGAATGCTTTACAGCTTACAGCAATGATGGTCACGGATGACAATAAAATCGAAAAGGTAGCATTATTTAAAATGTAAAGATATAATCAGAATAAGATAAGATAATATAAAAACAATTTAAAACTTACTTTTTTTATATATTTTTATTTTAATAATTTTTTTATTAAATTTGTATTTACATATTAAATTAAATGATCTAATCTTAGCAGCATCATTTATGCACGTTACCAAATTAAACGTGATTATTAAAAAGTTCTGAATTCGTTACAATAAAAAAAACAAAAATGGTTTTAAAAATATGCTAATAAGAATAATAATATATTTGTAGGTGTAAACTATGCAGTGTACAGTCACGCGCATTTTATGGCCATGAACAGTTCGGCAATAGTATCTGATTTCATGTTTCATTCATTATTCATTAATATCTATTCTCAAGAAGACAACAAAATTATGTTACATCAAAAGAATAACAAAATAGCAAAACTATCTGACTAGACACACGGTGAAAAAATATTGTAGGTATAAGTGGCATCGGCTTTAAAAATCTTTGTCACCTCTTGAATGCAAATCGATATACCTATCTTGTGTTACTAATATCTGTAATCAAAGTTTTCAATCTTGTATAGCAACACGATCATATGTCATTACTAGCAGAACCCGCGGCTACGCCCGCGTTCAATCTACCCAAAAAAAGTCTTTGGCTTAATTATTTTATACAGCGAGTATGTACTTACATCTATACATATAATAAAATTGTAACTAAGTCGAATCTGTACATTAAATATTTTTTGGAAAATCTAATTGAAATAGACATTATTATCGATAACGAGTCCGAATGTATAATTTTTAGAATTTTTGTCTGTCTGTTACCACACCACTGAAATAACACTTGAGGGATTTTGATGAAATTTGGTATGATGATAGCTGGTTATCCGGGTCAACATCCCTATTTAAAAACTCCAATAGGATCCCATCAAAAGCGACAAAAGCCACAAAGAAACCAAAACATATTTATTGGTTTCTATGTGGCTTTTGTCGCTTTTGATCGGATTCTATTGGTGTTTTTCAACAGGGATATAGGATACTTTTTACCGCGGAAAAATATCTCATATCTGAGAAATCTATACTAAAGAGCGAGGGCGAGAAACTGCGAATTTTATTTTCAAGTAAATATATTCTGTATTAGCAACAGGATATTTATTAAATCGAGTCGGTTAGATCATTCGAATGCAGTACATATATGCTTTGTAGTTAGTCAATTTTCATCTAATCAATCTAAATGATACAAAAAACTAGGTGTACATCTTTATATATATAATTCTTCTGTGAGTGTGTATGTCGCTGAACTTCTCTCAAACGACTGGACCGATTTTGATGAAATTTTTTGTGTGTGTTCAAGGGGATCTGGGAATGGTTTAGATTCACAATTTGAATAATAATTTTCATCAAAAAAATTATTAAAAAAAGTTTGAAATTTTCAAATTAAAGACGTGTAGACAGGACAACGTCTGTCGGGTCCGCTAGTCATATTATAAGAATATAGAGACGTTATAAACAAACATAATAAGTTAAAGTTGATAATTTGAAAGATAAATAATAAATATACTTATTTCTTGTTTTTAGGATCGCGTACATCAAAATTAAAAACAGAATTGTACCTCAATGGAAAAAATTGTACAATTTGAAATTTTATACGTAAAGGTTGTACTTACTGCCAAGTTTTTCATTTCTATATAGAAATAGCTATTTATAATTATAATTTTCGATCAAAGAAGTTTAATCAAGATTATTTGATGAAATGGTTTAATCTATTATCTCATGAACGAATTAACCACTGGACCAGACATATAAGCGGACGTACCTTTAACGGTCATGTCAGTAACCAGGGAATTTTAGCCTAGGTCGTTTGTTTTTTGTGTCAGTCTCAAGCAGTTACTTGTCAACAAACATCTCCCAAAAATGACTAAATGTTCTGTTAATTGGTGTAAAAACTATAACGGCGGAAGCAGCACTATTTCTTTTAACTTGTAAATACATTATTTTATTATATTTATTGTTATTTATCACAAAATTTAATTAAATGTAAAATAAAATGTCATATTATCCAACTATGTTAAATATAGTCGATATTTCTATGTATTGTTGACATCTGACAACCATCATAAAACCCCTGGATTATACCATTCAGAACAAATGACAAAACTGTCGAGTGAGTCCATTTGACATCGACTAGTGCTTGACAATGTCGAAAAATATATCGATATTTGACGAAATAACTGAACGAATTGTGTTATTTGTACAGTACAATAACATAAAATACTTTTATCACAGTATCCTACAATCTGATGACAATAAATTTATAAAAATATTTTCTAAATCAAATAAAAATATAAACGCAAAAATTATAATTAGTATGTGTACTTAATTTTTTATTTTATTTTATACCACATTCATATACTTTGGAATATAATTCCATTGTAATAATAATAAAGATCATTTTATTTCAACACATAAATTACACAAAATCAAACAATAATGTTTTAGCACTAAACTTCTGGGTTGGCGATTTGTAATAAAACACTTTACCACTTGCATTAATTATTTTACTTTCACGATCCAACACTCACTTTTTCACAATTTGCAATCACTTTTTCTTTTTCCTAATTTCGCAAATGTTTATTAATAAAATCAATTGCCAATTAAAATAGTTCAATAACAGAATCAACAAAATAACTTTATTTAATTAAATTAGCTTAATATTTTTTAATCTTTACAAAATAATATTTATTATATATTAATGGAATATACACCCGATATTCATTTGTTTATTAACATTATTATAGGCCAACAGAATGTTGCCATCAATGCCATCGTATTTATATAAATCAAATTAAAAAATAATTATTATTTGACACATTATTATTGCTTCTTTAATTCATTTATTTTAATTTATTATAATAAATACAGATATTTTAAATTAAAAGATGTAAAATATGATGACTATGCTAACTAATGTCTAAAATGTCATTTATTGGTTCATCGATATATGTATTTCATCGATTACGTTCAAGCACTAGAAATATTGTATTGTGTATCAGTGTTTATAATAATGTAATAAAATCTTTGTGTGCGTTATGCGTCACTTGGTTGAACTAGTTTTCATACATTTGTATTTTATGTCAGGTCCAGTCTCTAATTCGTCCATGTATTATCTATATAAAAAAATGAATGTTTCTTTAAAAAAAACCTTAAAGCACAGTATTGCTATTTCGTAAGAGCTTTTTTGTATCTCGACAACTAAAACTTCGGACAAAGTCTAAGTCAGAAGATAAGTAGTCTCCACATATCCACCTGTAATAAAATTAATTATAGTATGCCGCGCATCTTTAAAGATATTGAGCACAGACTCACAAGCTTTAGTGTTGTAGTAATAATATGCTGCATAATGGATATACTCGTAATACAAGAATTAAAAAGATAATTAATTTTATCATAAAAGATAAATTATTAAGAAGTATGTATAAGAAAAATATGTACATTTGTGTTCCTATTTTAGGGTTCCGTATCTCAAAAACAATAAAAGGAACCCTTATAGAATCACTTCGTTGTCCGTCTGTCTGTCTGTCTGTCAAGACGCTTTTTTTTCAGGAACTCGTGAAAGTATCAAGTTGAAATTATATTAATATTAAAATATTTATATGGCCATTTATCGCATATTTTGACACTCGCAAGAAAAATCGCAATCAAAAATCGAAGGATTGAAAACCTATAAGGTAATTTTATTTCTTATAATATGACCAAGACTCTTATACCACAAGTAAAGGGAAAATTTTAGAAAGCATAAATCTGTAGTTACATCACAATTTTTTTTGTGATTATAAACTTATCATGTTTCATGGTACGGAA